TCTTATAGCCGTTTTTGGCCGTAATTTTTTTGTTATTGACCTCTCTGTTTCTTCATACGTCGGCGGCCTGCTTGCTAAATTTTTATTTATTTATTTCTATTTTGTAAAGCGAAAAAAAAATTAGCCCGAAACATTTTCTTAGTGATGACCGAACCATTCGAAATTGATTGACCTGTACCTGTAAGAAAAAAAGACCCGATAGATTTGAAATTATTTGAAATTTTCAAATGTATTTCAATAGCAGACATACTCCCTCCTGTGTATGTATAAATGTATTGCGAATACTTTAGTTGGGTCCAACCTCTGACCAATCTGATTTTTTTTGTTCACTGCTCACCTGACGACGATAGCTACGACCCAGGTGATATGATTGCCTGACAACATCTGAAAGTGAATGAATGAATGAGAAACAAAAAAATGCATCAATCTTTAGATGGCGTGTCAGGAGCGTATGTATGTATTATAGAAATGTCTGTAATTCTTGTTTTTTGTTCATTTTTCTTTATTCTCCATAGATACAGAAATGATGATAATAATAATGTTAATTTATAGTTATGAAATGTTCATTTGAATCTATCGATACGAAAGAGAAATGAAATTACCTGGTACTAGGATCTATGCAATTTTTTATTTGTATGTCAGACCTTGTTCTACTCTTGTTTCAAAAAGAAATATATTTAAACATTCGGTTTTGACCGCGATTATTGTGGTTTTAAAATTGTCTGAAATTTTGCAATTTTTTCCCCATTGATGGACAGAGAAAAAACTATTTTCAACATTGATGATGATGATAGCAATACATAGTTTTTTCATCGATTTGATGATATTACTTTTTTTGGTACAGGTAAAGAAAATAATGGCCATCATTGATGAAAAAAATAATGATGATGATGATAAGTAGTTTTTTCATTATGATTATGATGGTTCATAAAAGACTAAACCTTTTATCTGTAATTCCTTAAAATTCTTGTGAATTCTTTATTTCTTTCTCTCTATCTATATTTCTTCCAGTCAACAGAAGTGACAAGAAGGGAAAAAATAAATGTATAAAATCAAAAGGAAATGGGAAGAAAATGAATTTTTCCACCTGCTATAATAATCATTCATAGTCATTAAAATTTCACTATGGACGTGTATAGTAAGTTAGGTATTAATATTGGCCTTGGCCACCAAATGAACAACAACAACAAAACAAAGACAATGCAATTCAAACACAGGTCTGTCTTTTGATTTTCAACTATGAAAAAAGCGAAAATACAGGATTGTTGTTTTGCCATGTAGAATCTTGATGAAGATGATGTTTGACCATCATCATCATTCAATGCTCTGTTTTCATATTATTATTTCGTTGGCTGGATTGCAATTATTTTACAGGTAACAATAATAATAATAATAATGAATTTTTCATATAAACAGCACACCACGCACTAGTGACTGACTGCCCTGCCTGACTGGATTGAATATATCTGACTTGGTTCTCTTATATTTTTGTATTGCTATTCATCATGTGATCAATCAAAACCTGGTGACTTGTTCAACATTTTTTTTCTCAAAGACAAGTCGGTATTTATTATATAAAATAGCTCAAAATGTGTGTGTGTACCCATCAAGCATCGAAAATAATACCCGTCATTCTGTGTTGTATATATGAACAGGTTTTTCAGAATTTTTTCCCTATTGGCCATTTTTATTTTTTGTTTACTTGCAGAGCTTGGTGTGGCCAACCTGTATGAATGGTAGTGAATTTCGTAAAATAGTTGAAAATTGGCAGAAATTTCATTTTACCTGGCTCTTTTTTTCTCATTGTTCGCGTTTCACCATCATAATTCGATTTTAGCGAGATAGTGAATAACTAAATAGAGAAAGAGATAGAAATGTGTGTGTGTGTGTGTATAGCAATAAGCCATTCAGTCAGCTAGAAATGAAAATGGAAAAAGAATGATTGTGAAAGTGATTCACCTTGATTTTTTTTTCATCTCCATTCAAAAATGGCTCGTTGATTTTTTTTTGTTGTGTTGTTATTTGGATTCGACCGTATACAACCAGTCTTATATCCAGGCAATAATTTTCCTTTTCATTCTTTTAATCATTGCAAAGAATGATTGCCAATTTTCACATAGCAAGTTTTTAATTTGAACTATGGATGGGCGCCATGTATTTTCTTTATTGTGCGTTCTTTTTTATAATATTTTGGCTGCCATTTTTAATGAATTCTAAATTTTCTTATTAATCAAAAAAGCGAAATAAAATGTCCCTGTTTGGTCAAATCTATTTTACCATATCAGATTCTTTGTTCAGAAAAATTGACGTTTCTTAATAAATGTTCTAGTTTTTTTTCTCTGAAATTCATTTCAAATAACATTAAAAATGATTGAATCATTAAATCACATCTTTTTTTTTGTAATAATCAACCAATATTGCAGTTAGCATAGTTCTTATCAATATTTTGTCATGGCTTCATTATCGTCGTCGTCCCGGATGTGTGTCGTTGTATGAGTTTCCATGTCCGAACATTTGTCGGATGTATGTAATTAAAAATCCACATCAAAACAGCAATGGCAACAAGAACTGGTGTTTGTTAAAGGCATTTATTTTATTTTTATTTTTTTCTAGAGATTGTCAATCGAGATTTCTTCCTCGTTATTTGTTGCTTTCTGTTTTTGATCATAGAATGATGATCATTACACAATGCCATTTTTTAATGTCCTGTTTCTTTGGTTCTTTTTTTCCCTTCATTTCTTTCGTCAATATACACTACATATCTCGGTTATTTGACATTTTTTCCTTTCATTTTTATGACTATATTTTTGTTCGTGTATGTGTGCTCGTTTATTTGCTGTAGAAATGTTAGGGTCAGCATGTTGTATTGAAGAAAGAAAGTTAGTACCGCTTCTTCTGAAATGTATGGTAGTGCCAACAACGAAATAAATTAAAGAATGAAAAATAAAATCCATTCAAGCAAAGATATTTTAACCATAGATCGACCTTCGGAAGTACGTTTTTATATTCAAAGCCGAAATGCTTGATTCATTGACAAGCAAACAATAATGAATGATTAAAGATTGAATCGTTTTGGTGATTTTTTATATATTACTGATTCATGTTGTAAATACGATCTTTTCGGTTTGGTTAAAACCATTGAAAGATTCTTAATATTTTATAATATGGTTTTTTTCGACTCTTTTCTGTACAACTAATATACAATTTCAAATTGATAATCTTGTTTTTTTTCTCAATGATTATGCCTGAATTGATTATTGTTCATCATTTGACAATGTCAATGTTTCACCAGGCTTTGATTATGGTTTCTGATAACCGGCATATCGAACTTTCATGAGTTTCATTATCATAGTCAACCATATACACTTAACCTTGAAAAATTATTGAAAATACATAGCTTAACTTGTTGTATTTCAAATTATCAGGACAAGGATTCTTTACCATTTTGCCAAATTAGGAAACATGAACTAATTATTCATTTGAAAACCAATGTGTGTGGGTGCAAATTCTATCCATTCTAGTGGATTTACCGAAACTTCCATTGCCACATATGGAATTATGTCACATGCTACACTCACTCATTTGATTTTTTGATAGCATATTTATATGGCTCTGAAGTTTTTTCTTTTATATTCCATCATCAACCACACGATCATGATCAACATTGTGACTTTTTTTGGGCTCCATATTTATAGCAAGTGTTTTCTTTCTATTCAAAAAATCATCATATTATATATATCGAACATGTGTCTCTATATATTTTTACTCGTGTTAAATATTTTTTCCCTTTTTTTTGGTCCTTGTGTACTTGGCCGGTTGACCTCATTTTTCGTTTCTGTTCCATATTATGTACAGATATATAATGGATGTTGCAAGAAGTTTTGTGATGAATTGCTGTGAATCGTTGATTTCTGCAATTTTTCTCAATTTTGAGAAAAAGAAATATCTTTCTTACTAAAGCCAATCATTGTATCACAATATACAATGAAAAAAATGCCAAAAGTTTTAATGAAACAAGGAGTCTAGTCATTGTGAATGGATTTCCTATATGATAGAAGCAATAACTGTAGTGTATCGCGCCTACTTTGGACTCCTTACTTGCTTTATCCCTATTTGTGTGTGTATATGTTTTTTTTTGATGATTGTCGCATCTCTTTACAACCACTTGATGATCCTTCGTTTCAGACATGGCTTTCACTTGTTGCACTTTTTTTTGCTTCCCACTCTGTCGAATTGTATTACGTTTGCAATATCAAATCAAAATGTATATGTTTCCTTGTATGGCGTATCAGCATTATCACCTTTGACCTTGTACGTTTGTCGAGGTCTTTGTCTTTCTAATGATTGATCGGTAGTGATTATGGCAGTTTTTTAAATCACAATCTGCAACATAGACAAAAAATGTATGCACATGAAACATTATTAGCAAAAAAAATTCGAATGAGCCACGAGAGAAGATTATAGAAGAGTAATAATAATGATGTTTTTCCATGTGCCATTCAGCATTATCATCATTAGCAATAGAATGACAAACCATTATTCTTTTTGACAGAACATGCACGCATACAAATATAAATTGTTTTCAGGCTATAGGGTTTTCAATTCGAATCCAAGCATGAATAGATTTGGCTGAAATCCATTGCTTTGAAATTGTACTCGTCGTTGATCCATTTGGTGGTGGATACAGAAGTTGATGATGTTTTATGCTGATTCTAAATTCCTTTTCATTGCCAATTTTGTAGAAGAGAAAACTGTCGTATAAAGCTGACCACTAATTTTTTTTTCTTTTTCTTTCACCCACTGATCATTTATAGAGGATTGTCGATTCACTAACACACCTGAAAAAAAACATCATAATCATTATTATTTTCTATGTTGTGGTAAAACTTTGTGTTTTGAAAAATCTTCGTGTCATTTATCTAATACATAAAAAAATTGTTCAATCATCCCATGGTTGGGATCCATCCACCATCATCACCAATTCTTGCTCATTACAAATGATCATTTACTCTTATCTAAATCGCAACATTTCTCCTGATGAGAACTAATGTGTGAAATTCACCAGACATTCAAAATTGTTTCATATTTAACAACCCAATTACAATTCAACCAGATATGGTATTACAAGAAACGGCTTCAACTACGGGGCTTCCTAGCAGCGGCCATCATCATACATTAGTAAGACATCCTCACCATCATCATCTTCATCCACACCATCATAATCATCATCTCAATCATCCCCACTCCCAATATGTACAACAACCTTCATTGTTGAATGGCCAACAACAACAACAACAACAGCAATCATCACACCCACATCATCATCACCATCAGCATCATCACCGGCATCAATTGTCAGTGAATGGTTTAGCTGCTTCTGCTAGTGGCGCCATGTCCACTGGTGGTACAGTTGGACCAACATCAGCGCAGCCACCACCCGCACATTTGTCCACATATCCGGCTCATAACCATCGTAATAATCATCATCATCCGGGACATGTACATCGCCACAATACTACTGTTGGTTCAGTTGGTTGTTCTGGATTAGCAATCTGTGTTCCTTTATTGCATGATGGTTCCAATGCTGGTACTTCTACCGGTCTTGTATCACCACCATCGTCAACATCGATTGCTCATCGACAGCATTCACGTACATTTGCTACAACTCCGGCAGATAATCCGTCGACATCTATTTCGACGCTTGATTCGAATCCAAATGAAAGACAATCATCGTTGGCCAATGTTTATTTAACAGCAGCTGCTGTTGCTGCCGCTCAATTTGATCCTTCATCCGTTTTTACGAATAGTGAAAATGGTAGTGCTAGTAGCCAAATTCATCACCCAATTCGTTCACCCGGGCACCATCATAGAAGACATCGCAACAATCATCACCATTCTCATGCAGCACATCATCAATCGAATGTATCAACGAGATCATCACAAATGCCCTCATTGACAAACTCACAACAACAACCATCAGTCGCAACATCAGCGATGGATGTCGTTGAAGATCATGTTGATCAAACACAAAGGCCAAACATTGATACAAGTAATGGTCATCATCATTTTCATCGGTCCAGACATTATCAAATTGATCCATGTGATGCACCAGATGATATTCTTTCTCGAAAGGTAAGACTCCATTTTTTATGCTGGTGTTACACAAGAAATTTACCCTATTTTCAATCAAATTCAAAAATTGTTGCAGACATTTTCTGTGTCATCAACCCTGATTGAATAGTTTCACAACAAAAAACAACCAGAATGTTTGTGTTTGTTTTAGGCCAACTAAAGCAATGACAATCATCATGACCAATGAATTTCGTTTGCATAGATTTTTCTCTGGCAAGCTCTTTTTCTCATTAGCAATTATAGTTATCATCGTGCCTATATATAATACAACCTACGCCCAATGAATATTTATTCACTTCCTATTGGGTCGAATTTATGTATATAATGTTTTCAAAACCTTTTAAAACTGGATCTTTGGAGCCATTTTTTTAAACCCAAGCCTTCAATAACAAACCGTTGAATAGTTTGACAATTTTTTTTCTCTTCTAACATTCAAGCAAGTTCAAATGTGTTTAAGTATTTATAAAAATGTCAAACGAGAAAAAAAGATAAATAAGCTTGTCGCAATTTTAGTTAGATTTTTATTTAGGAATGTTCATCTTCAGTCAATTCACCATGGTTTTAGTGTGGAAAAAAATTCTCAATTTATATGATGTTGATGATCTGGTAAACTATTTTAGTCTTCAAACTATCCCTCATTTATAAGTTAAAATTTTTTTTCTTTTCGTCATTTCACCTATCTTCATAATGAAAAAAAAATAATTTTCATTTTTCAAGCTAGAAATACATTCGAGTTGTTCACTCCAGCTTGCGGCCTGGCCATTAGATTAGATTAAAAGTTTGAATGTTTGCATCAAACGATATTTAGGCTTTCGAAGAAAAAAAATTTCGTTTCACATTTTCACAAAGCTAGAGGATAAACTAGAAATAGCTTTTTTACATCTGTTTTGCCCATACGTTCCAGAAAAGCTTTGAATAAACATATAGTGGTGGTAATAGTGAATGGAACCAAATACATGAAATTGGATTCTTTTTCTTCCTCTCTTCCTCGTATGAGTTGTTGATGAGAAAAAAAATTCCAAGAAAAACTATATTATCCATATATGATAATATAAATCAGCTTTTAGATAAGATTTTTTTCCTTTCCATGACCGATCCAAATCATTTTCACTGAATAATATCAAAAATACACACGGATTCATAAGTAGATCGGTAAACAATATATTAGGTTTTGCATAAATCGTAAATGCTTAGCTAAAACCTTGGAAGCTTATATAGTTCTCACATTTCATTCAAACTATCGCTATTGTTTGTAGGCGTTTTTTCCCATTCTTCGATGGCTTTTCATATTCTTTTTTTTCTTGACAGAAAATCTGGAATGATTTTTCCACTTGTTTGTTTTAAGCAAATATCTTGGAAATTTTTTTTTTGCCCACTTTGGATTAATCATTTTGTCTTTTTCTTTCCGTACCATAACGTTGGATGGTGTTGTGACCCAAAACTCTCACTAATCTCAATTGAAGCTGTCACCTGTCTTGTCTGCTTGATTGAATATTGGTGTCACCGTTTCTCGCTCATTCATTAAGTGCAAGCCATATATCATTGTAATATTGTATCAAGTAGTAGAGGTACTATATAAATTATCATTTCGTTAATATATAGTCTTTGTAAATGATAATTTCTCTCAATCTTTTGCGATTCATTCAATCGCCAGATGATTGAGCTTACTAACTTTAGAAAAAAGAGAGTGAATGAATGAAAGAGATACCCACAATTTTTCGGAAAATGAAAAATAATTATTCCAAAATGCCAAATGAAGATGATTGACCAAATTATTACATTATTACTAATGTATCACTATCATTGTTTATTTAAAACAGAGTAAAAGTCCTTCAAGAAAACGTCGCCGTACAGATTTTGCTGGGACTTCAATTGCCCTAAATCATTTTCGAAATTTAGTTGTTGAATCTTCGTCACCGCCTTTGCCTTCTCAAGATTCGATACCTGGAGAGGATGATGTTTCAGCTAATGATGGTGGCGGAGGTACAGATCGATTAGAATCATGGGTTGCCTTGGTATCACCACAACCTCAACCTCAACCTCATACCAGCAGTCCAAACACAGATCTGGAACCAATCGTAGCTGTTAATTCCAATGTTGAATTAGTCCAGAATGAGCCATCTCCTAATAATGGAGATTATCATCATCATTACAATACCGTCCTACAACAAACATTAGAGACAGCAGCCGAAGTTTCTTCTATGGATGATCTCATTGAAACGAATGAACCTCTCAACGTTTTTTCCAACCACAATGTGCTCGATGAGTCACAAAATCATACCTCATCATCATCAGCATCAGCATCATCATCGTGGAATCGACGTACTGTGATCACCTCAGCATCTTCTCAGGGAGATGAAAACGTAGCAACTAATACAAATTCTGGCCAAAGATCCATCATAAATGCACACTTATCGCCTTCAATCCAATCAACCAACCATGATAATAATAATAATTTTCTTAACGGGCAGCAGCAATTAACTATTTCTAGGTTGATGAACAATTCAAATAATGATATGAATGGCCAAGATCCAGATGACAATGGTGATAACGAAAGGAATAGTGGCGAAAATGACGATGAAGAATATGTCAAATGCCGTGCACGTTTACATAGTAACGCACAAACATCAACAGATTTAGATAATGAAGAAGCTCATGAAGAAAATGGCAGTACATTATCCGATGCACAATCATTTGATTCGAACGCTGCCACAATCGACTCTACCTCAGAAGCATCGATGGCATTATATTCATCTTCTGCCGCTTCGATTCAAACAATGGATTCGGCTCTATCGGTGCCACGATCGCAATCACCTCAATCTTCATCCAGCAGCAGTAGCAGTAATGGAAGTGTGCCATCAACGATTCCTGCATCATCTTTTTTCATGAATTCACATTGTCATAATTCGAATCGACAGTCAGCAGCAACGTTATCAGTAGAACATGATCAGTCCACATTATCTTCCAGTCCTCAAAGTAATAATTCCGTCAGCAATGCTTTTCCACCTTTGTTTCAACAACAAAATAATGAATCCTCATATTCAGCTAATCAAACACCATCAGTGGCATCCGCTAATGTCAATGCGAATGATACTGTTGAACGATCTCAACAAACAGATCATCATTATCATCAGGTTGAACGGCAATCAAATAATAGTGCGAATCAAGAATCAACTGTCAACAATACAACTGCATCTACTGCAGATGTACATTCCGGATGTCCATATTTTCAACGTTTAAATAACCTTCGAACGGTAATTGATTGTTAATTGATTTTTAAATTTCATTTAAATGAATTTTTCAAATTCTATTCTAGTTACCTAACATAAATCGGCCTAACAACGATTATAATAATACTCAGCACTTGGGAACAAACTTCTCCAACTCACATGGTCACACACAGTTGCCAGCGACGGCGACAAACGCTGCGACATCTGACATTCATCGCCAAGCTAATCGGTTATCATCGAATCGACCATCGCGTCGATATCATAGGATATTAAATCACCAAATGCCACCAACACAACCTCCACTTTCCATTCCTCAACAAACGAACATGGAATCAAACGAAACTGGCAGTTATTCTCGATTGCCCGCTGCATTTCTTTTGTTCGACCAATCCTCACCCAGCTTTCATTATTCAGATCCTAGATTGTTCGAATTGATCAATGAGTATTTTCCCAATGGAACTGGTGCCTATCCGCACATGTTCCATTCATCAGCACTTGCAGCAAATTCCAACTCTACAAGAAATGTTGTCTCGGATTCTATGATTGATTTCAATAATCCTCAATCGGTTCACTGGCTTTATCATTTGCTGATGCAAGATCCTCAATTAGTTCCACACTCTCAACAGCAAACAATGGGTCCGATATCCAACTCATCCCAACAAACAACACAACAATGTTCGAACTCCAGATCACAATCAAATACTGGTCAATCACATCAGTCTAATTCTTCAACTAACTCTTCTCAGATTCGTCATCAAGATCGTAATGCAAATAATTATCCGATGTATTCATCACATCAACCGCATCCATCACATCAAATGAACTATATGAATTCTCGCGTGCCTCGCACAACATCTGATCGAAGCAACAGTGGCGTTAACATCTCTCAAAATGGAATGTCTTTGGGACAAACACAATCGCAGTTTCTACGGCCTGAATGGCAACGATCAGCAAGTGCTGCGACAACGACCGCATCTGCAAGTGGAGTTCCAGTACTTCGTCTATACAATAATCAGGTCGGAGCTCTTGCACCGACTTATGATCATCGTCTAATTAATCCGATATTATCATTGTTATTGCCTCAATCATCTCAGGCAACGCCAACAACGTCTTTACAGCAACTTCGAACAAGTACTGCAACAACCAACGGTCATTCTTCTTCTATCCATTCATTACCGCCAACAGCTCCAGTGTTACCAAATGTCGCAACGTTGCCACAAATTGATAATTTTGGATTGACACAAAACATTGACCAATTATCGCCGCCCTTGTTTATATTACCTGCTGGAAACTATCCACCCCCATCACCGCTTTCACAAATCCGACGAATCCAACGTCAAAATGAAACTTCGAATAGTTGCAATAGTTCGAACAACCAGTCATCACAGCAGCATCAGCATCAGCAACAACAACAATCTTCACATCTTCGCTCAACACAGCATCAGCAGCAGGTTTCTTCAACGTCGGCCCAAGTTTCTGCTAACATGTTCAATCCATTTGCGAATCTTGCCGCTAGTACAGCCGCAACTAATTCCTCGTTTCATAATCGATTTCATCCTATCGTCTCAAATGCTTCGTCCGCGATCCATCACACATCGTCAGCGAGCCAAAATCATCATCACAACGGTATGCATCAGAATCAGCAGCAGCATCATCATCATCATCATCATCATAATTCGGCTAATCAAGCAAGACCTGGCGTAAATAATCCTTCATTTGTTCCAAGAATAACAAATTTTATAAATAACAATACTTCGTCGTCTGGACGGCCGACAATAAACCGAGCTTCTGGTCACCATCATCACCATCCTCACCAACCGCCTTTCGCATTTTTATCACCATTGGCAATTCCGAATTTCGATCGTCGATTCAGCGAATGGTCTGACTTACCATTGTTTCCCCCGAATACATTGCATAATTCATTATTTAATGATAATATGCCCGAAGCTGAAAACTATGAAGCTTTACTTTCGTTAGCAGAACGTTTGGGTGAAGCTAAACCACGTGGTCTAAACAAAAGTGAAATCGATCAACTACCATCTTATCGATACAAACCAGAAATTAGTGCCGAAACTGATCAAACATCATGCGTCATATGTATTTGTGATTTTGAGGCCAAACAAAATCTTCGTGTATTGCCTTGCCATCACGAATTTCATGCCCGTTGTATCGACAAATGGCTTAAGGTAAAAATAAGATACTATTTGATTTGTCAATATTCTAATTATGTTTTTCCTTCATTCTAGACTAATCGTACCTGTCCCATATGTCGACGTGATTCAACCGCACTAATCCAAGAAGCCGATTAATTTAAAGATGAATTTTGTTATCAAGTTGCAATAATGACAGATATCGAAAAATTTTCAATTGTTGGCTTATTACTATTGTACAAAACAATTTTTTTTTGTAATTTTCTATGTTGTACAAATTAATTCAGTAAATATAAATTCATTAATATCACAGAAGTCTGAACAAAACAATGGAGAATTTCTATCACATTCGTTGGATCTGAATTTAATAAAAAGCACAATTATGTCTGAATCATCAAATCTAAGATTCGTTTTAACATTCATTTTGAAGATTATTATTTTGCCTGTAAAATTTTATTTGTTCATTTTATTCCTCTCAATGATATGAAAAATCCAAACATGATCGCACAATTTATTTAATGAGAGCTTTTTTATTCTTGCTTCTCCATAACATCGAATTACCATTCATCATTCATATGCATCTGTCGTCCATAAACATGATGTCGATAATTGAAGATAATTTTAGCTGAACATCATAGGTGTTTCATTTTTCAATTATTATTATTATTATTATTATTATTATTATCAATTTGCTATTTTTCAAGTGTTTTAATTTTTTCATTTTTTTCTTTATTGAAAAGTGACAACCACATTGAAATAAAATCAATTTAACAAAAATCAATTTTAATTTAGTTATTTATATGTTTGAGAAGTTAAATGGTAATAATTCTACAAACGATGTTTCATCAGAGTTGTAGCGCCAATTAACCAAATAAGAAAAACTATTTCAAAAAAAACAATTGTTAATGAAAATTTTGAAATGAGAAAAAATCTCATGCTTAAAAAAATGGCCAAATAAGAATAGTTTTATTTGATAATGATAGTAAATTTTATATCAAAAATAAAATCAGTGAATGATAAGTAATTTTAAATGGTGTAAAAGTTTTACATCGATTCTGATAATTGATAAATACTGGATAATGATGATGAAAGTTTGAAGCTTAAGTCTAAAATTATAATTGTAAAATATCGGAAATATCAAGATTTAAATCAGAATTGTAGTCTAATGTCGATGCTGATTGAGAATTGTTTTCGTCATTGATAGTCAATGCTTGATCGAATTCGAGTTTTCGGTTCACTTTGTTAACATTTTGGTCATCCACAATATCGAGTGAAGTATGCGGTTGTTCAGTTTTGCGGATTATTTCCGGAGGATCATGTTCATGCAAGCGAAGACGCCATAATTTGATTTGTTGATCCCATGAACGACGACTGTATTTAACAAATTTATTTGGTGTACTGAGATCGGTTTTTTTGCGACGATTTTTCGGCAACTTACTTATGTAGTTCTGATAACCGATCGTATTCTTGCCATAATCTATTTGTTTTTGTCGTCTTTTGACCACTTCAGGATCTGTTTCAAATTCAACACACTTATTATGATTGAATCGTGTGGATTTTCGTGGACGTTCCAATGATGAGCAAGTTGAACTTGCTGGACTATATGATCGAGTATGATTGCTTCGATAGAAAGTAATTTCCCGCAACGGTCTTTTTAATCTGGGAGTAGTTTGTGTATCTACACCGCTGTTGTTAGTATCGACATCTAAAAGTTCTCGAGGGGCAATAGCTGCATTAATATCATCAGGACGACTAGATGATACGTCTAAACCAGAAGAAATACCCAATCCAGAATCGATATCATTTTCGATTTCTTCGTGGTTGAAAATTTCAACTTCAAATTTATTATTCATTAATTGGTCTGATTCACTTGTATAGGTTTTTTCGATTTCGGAAGCTGGAGAATCTGGAGTTTTTGATGAGAAGATTTTCGAACCGTCAGTTTGAGATCCACAAGATTCAAATTCGTCTGAGCATTTCAATGTAGAGCTAAAATCGTTAATCAATGAATTTTGATCTTGATCATCAAAATCATCATCACTTTCTTCCATCAATTTAACCCAATCAACGAAGTACGGATTTTGATTTGCTACTTGACTGTTGGACATTATTAGCAAGCTGTAAATAAATAATTAATTAATTAGAAGAAAAAACAAAATTTAATTAAATAACACATACAGAAATTGTAATGGAAACTGAGGTAGAAAAAGCAAAACTGAGTCCAACGAATAAAATTCCTTGACCAAATGAATACCTTTTTTCAAATAGCATAAACGTACGAGAGTTTCTCATCCAGAGTTGTGCTACACATGTTTTTGGCGCGTAAACATTCCGCCAACAAAGATTTGCGCCATAAATTGTTTGCCACTACGTTTTGAAAAGCGCCAAAAATTTTCTTCACAATTTTCAATACTGTTAGCATTTTGAATTTTATAGAAGTGAATCCAATGCAGTCAAAATAGACTTATTACGTTGATTTTGCAATTTTTTAAAATCAAAAATGGTCTATCTTTTGATGATTTCACTAAGTACCATGGATTTCTAATTTAAAAATTAAAATTGGTTATTAGAATAATTTTAATATAAACAAGTGTGTGTTGCTGGCCTTTGGCCAGCAGCACGCACACTTGCTTCAGCCCGTAGATTCTGGCAGATGAGCGGCTACGCCGCCCATC